TTGACGTTAGGTCAAATCTGAGAGAAATACTCAGAAAAAAACGCTAATATGGCTATCAAATGCGCTTTTCCGCAGCGCTGTAGCTCTATTGGTTCCCGAGTCATACGTCGGCATCTTGCAAATTGTCGATATTCGACCTGAAATTCGGCGAAATTTGGCCTTCAATGACCCCCATGACCTGACCTTTGACTGACCAAAAAATTGACCGAAGTAGTTTCATCATTATTTTTGACGCTTTTTCGAACGAAGGGTAGCTTATGGATTATGGAGGTACAAAAAGGTATGTTTGGCAATGCACGCCTATGTTTTTGGATGGTAATTGAGGGTGCAGCTGCACGGCCATGCACCCTCTCTTCCGCCGCCCATGATTTCTTGCTACAAACGTCTTCAACCGCTCCCGAGTGAAAGAATGTACGTTAATATTAAGATATTATCATTTTGTAGAGGTTGGACAAAACCTGACCACTACTGGGGCATTCCTTGACTCTACTGGGGCATTTGCCCCAGTAGTTAACATGTTAGCCGAGGCCCTGAGGGAAGCCTCATTATTACAGCGTCACCTATCATAGGAATAACAGCGCTTACAGCGACACCTACAGCTGGTCGTGTAAATGAGCGGAGTGATACTGAACCAGCGAGTTCTTAGCTCTGTTGATAATTTTGGTAGAGAAATTATAGCTAAGTCACATAATAATTATAAAAGGAATAAAAATAAGGGCAATAAATAATAAAGTAAACCAAAAGAACTTTGGGCAATACATTCTTAATTAAAACTCATTATAAAGTTCTCAGTTGTTTCCGTAGTGTAGTGGTTATCACGTCCGCTTCACACGCGGAAGGTCCCCGGTTCGATCCCGGGCGGGAACATCCTTTATGCTCCCTTTGTCCATCGCCTAAACCACGGGCAGGCGTGGGTTCTTTCCAACTGACAGACTGCATCGTCCCATTAATAATTGAAATATGTATGCTGGATATTGCTAAGATATCGACACCGAGCCAGTCCCACAAAGCAATGTCTTCTCAAACCTCGTCAATAGCGCCCCCTCACCCTCCCCTTCCCCGGGCGGAGGCACTGGAGTCTGGAGGCAGTCGGGATACTGGACGCTTTACAACTTGAACTCACCTGACAATGCGATCCATTCTGCCTTTCGGCTCTTCTTGGATGTACGATCAACAGAAAGCGGTGCGACGACTCAGTGAACTGGGCTCATCTCCGATCTCATCGACTCAATTTTAGAATCAGAATATTTCATGTCCATTCGTCCGACTCCGCAGACGAGCACCGGCACGGATGACGTCCCACCAAGCGAACTGTACCACCACGTAAACACAACCACCATGAGGCACATCCACATCCCACGATGACGAATGATCACGCTCGATAAACGCCACGGTTTTTTTGTCAGCACTGCACGCACGCACTGCTCACGCGTTTCCGCCAGACTTCCGCCGCCGCTCACCGCCGAGAGCTGAGTACACGACCCCGAAACTTTCCAGGGGCGGACCTAGCGAGCATCCGGGGGAGCAAGTCATGGATAACCACAGTCTCAGAGGACAGTCTGCAGTCGTTGCGTGTAGATGATGACTAATGAAGGGTGACCAATCATTGTTCATCGGAGGCAAAATCTGTCTGTCTGGTGCGAAAAAGGGCAGGCGCGTAACCACAAGTCTGAAGTTACTGGGGACCACATGGAGGGCCGTGAAGACCAAACATTAAGTTTCAGGATCAGTCTTCGCCCGATTGGGGGGGGGGGGGGGAGAGGGTGGGAGACGTTTTTGGCCACGCCTGCCAGTTGTTTGCGCTTTAAGGAAAACCGCGGCGCGCACCGCCGCGAAACTTGGTATAGCTTATGATACCTCATTTTCGCATCGTGTGTGAAAATTTGGACACCAGGTCACCTAAGGTCAGGTCAACAGGTCAAGTAAAGTAACCATGCCTCTCTAAAAACTTTGTGACTCTGCCATTCCTACAGTTTACATCTCAGAAGTTTGAAACTCGAGCTTTTGCATGAGGAAATCAGTATGAACAATTCGTATGCCTTTAAGTTTTCACCTCGGTGACCTAATGTCAGGTCAGTTTTGCGACTTCTCCATTATATGTAAGTCGTTGGGAGAAAATTGAAATGCTCTTCTTTTGGCCGAAAACAAATTCAAACACCGCGACACAGGTAAACATGATACACTGAACTGGAAAATTGCACCAGTAACCCCTTTAATTCCCCAATTCCCCTGAGGTCATCTCAGGTCAGAAACATCTCCAACAGTTTTTTTACCATACTTTAGGTATAAACATGCTAGGGCGCTGAAAACACCATGGATGTGTTCAGCTCAACAATACCAATCGAATGACATGCAACATGACCTTTTCCGTGACCTTGACTAGGCATCAAATTTTCCAGTTGACCTTTTCAGGTCAACTTATAGACGCGTCTCGACGACTGACGAGACAAACGCGATGACGGTCAAACCAGCGTCATACAAGTTTTGAGTCAAAAGTTTTTATACAAAAACCTTTTTCGCAAAAACGCCAACCTGGAAGCCAAACCGTTGACCTCAGGTCAAATCTGAGAACATTACTCAGAAAGGCCTTTGAAAGAGCTATCGAATGCACTTTCCCGCAGGCAGCACTGCATCTCTATTGGTTCCTGACTCATGCGCCGATTTGTAAAAAGTTGTTGAAATTGAGGACAAAAGTTTGTGAAAGTTTTACCTTTGGTGACCTCCAGTGACCTCAGCGATGACCTGATCAAAAATGACATAGATAATTTTTTTTAAGATACTGTAGCGAGCTATCTGTTGCTTTTTACCGCATCTTTCTAGCTTGCTTACTTTCCGAGATAATCTGATGTGGCCAAAAAGTTGACCCACCATGGCGAAGTTGACTGAGAGGCCCACCCGGACGCTGGCTAAGCAAAACATCCATAGTGTTGTCTTTCGTTGACTACATAGATATTACTATTCACGTCGCTTTAGAGACAATATTTGGCTATTTAAGCAAATTGAGGAGTTCGTCGGTGTTACTGGGGACGGTCCCCAGTAACCCAAAAGTTACTGGGGACCGGTCCCCAGTGTCCCCAGTGGTGGTTACGCGCCTGAAAAAGGGCGTTCCCGCGAGACCCGACAAGACCGAAGCTTCGCCCGCCCCTGGATTCTACTCATCCCTACCCAATCCTACGAGTCGAGTCTGTAACTTTTTGTGAAGACCTTCGTAACTTATACGGCCTTGCTTCGTAGTTCCTCTCGCGGTGTTACAGACTATAAAATAAAATCATAACTACGGGGAATCGGGATCGAGAGCTTCTCATTCGCTTCCCATTCCTATCGGTTATATATAATACTGAACGAGGCCGGTGTAAATAAATTTTCAAGACCGAGGTCCTTACTGGATTTTTGAACGAGGCCGAAGGCCGAGTTCAAAAATCAGTAAGGACTGAGGTCTTGAAAATTTATCACCGGCCGAGTTTGGTATGTATTTTACTGTATGCCAACGATAAATTCATTTTCTGGATCGAAGCTCTTAGCCGACTTAGGAACGAGACCATCCCAAAATGTTGGCTTAAGTGCATTCTGGTAATGCATTTTTGACCGTGGTCAATTTGCTTACACCAGTTATTACCACACCCCTCTGGCTAATGTATTTGAATAGGCCAGGCATACAGTAACGTTCATCATTTTCGTTACGAAGCGAGCGAAGCGAGCGGAGTCTTCGTAGAATAACGGAAATTTCTGAGTATGAGCGGCCGGCCGGCCGTGGTCACGATTCTGCGACGCTTATATCTCAGCAACCACTTGACCGATTTACATGCGGTAATTTTTGTAGGGTAGCTTCATTCCTTCTACCAAGTATTGGATGATTATCGATGCATGTGGGTGACCCCTTATGCACGTGCCACGTGCAAAACGAAGAGGTGTCACACTCACTTTTGTGATAGTTGCAATATCTCGGTAACTACTGGGCCGATTGCGCTGAAAGTTGGCATGTAGGTAGGCACCCGCTAGGCAATGCATATCCATGTGCCAGAGTTAGGGTGCTGCTGCACGTGCGCACGTGCAGGGGTCGTTTCCAGATCTCGAGAACGGCTGGACCGATTGTGCTCAAATTTGGTACACGGTTAGGGACCAGTTAGTAGGGTGCCGTGCACAAGTCAGTTGGGACCCATTTTGCACGTGCGCACGTGCAGGGTGCCGCTTCCAGATCTCGAGAACGGCTAGGCCGATTGTGCTCAAATTTGGCACATCGCTGGAGACCGGTTAGTAGGGTGCCGTGCACAAGTCAGTTGGAGGTACCCCCTCGAAATTTCGCACGTGCAAGGCCCACCCTCTCGCTCGCTCCATTAGTCGCCCCAAAAGGCGTTATACTGATGTATTTAATAACTGTTGAGCATTCTCTGTGATGCAAACGGTGATTAGGTACCTAACCTACCATTTCGGTTGCTTTGCTACGGGAATGGTACGGTACCTGTTGGGTACGGTACATGCACAAAGATACGTCACTATATAGGATCTACCAGACGCAATGCCACTGCATGACACCTAGAGATTATGCAGCCCGTTTACGAACTAAATCCGACAAAAGATACGAACCAAGCCATACCGTGGTTGGACGCGATTCGTGTTGGATAAAAGCATGGTTACGTACAGCCCACCGCTAAAGTTATGTAGGGTTTTACCAATCTCAACGGTTGGCTTTGACTGGCGATTGTTTAATGCGGAGTGATCGAAAAGAAGATGTCAATAGCTAAAGTTGCAGCTGCAAGGGTGACGATACATATAAGCTACATTCAAAGCTTCATTGTAGTCTGGTTAATCGTTCCTAAGCTTCAGAAGCAGAACATACCCATGACTGAAACCGCACATTACAGTGATTACTTCTGCTGTGGACTGTACGTTCCTCTGAGTGCTAAAGAGCCAACGATCAGTCTGTTACAACAGACGGTTTACTCCCTGCTGCGCTCGTTACAGCTCCTTCCCTTTCTCCCGTCCAGCTGAACACACATGCATGGCCGTTAGTGTGTAATTATACAGTCGTGTTCCCTCATCCACACAATTTACACCATGTCAATACCAAATGCCATGAAAATACTCTACATGTTGTCTTTACAAAAGTGCTCATAATACACAGAGGTGAAGTGTCTACCAAAAGCATCACAAAAATACACTAGCCGACAAATAATATGGTTACACTCTGGATAGGTTTCTCCGCGTGACAACTCGGGGCGCACCGTACAGCGCCGTGTGTGTAGAAGCAGCAGAGGATGGTTACGCGGCTGAGAGCGGTGTGTGTATGCAATATGTATGTCTCTGTGTGTGTGCCTGTGTAGGGCCGCCAGCCGGACAGGGTACGCTCCTATCCGCACAGACGGCCGGGGCGAGACGTCACAGCAGCGCCCATAAATCAACAAGTAGTGAAAAATAACAACTAAATGTACAGCGCTAAAAGAAGGTAGCCGCTCCTGTGTTTGGGCGGGGAGGACGGGACCGGCCTCGCCACCCCGCCTGGCCGGGAGCTCGGCTGTGGCGGGCTCGAACCCCGCCCCAGCCCCGCCGCGAAGCGCCGGGCCAAACGCCAAATCATCGAAACACAATGCATGTTAAAACCGTCCCAAATAAAACGACCAGTAACGGCCGGTGGCTACTTCGGCTACCGATTACTATAAAACATCACGATCATATTAAAGTCACGTCACCCACCATCCCACCAGAAGACTGCGCACGCCACGCACCCAATAAAAACCACGCATACAAAAATACGGCGGCCGACTGAGGTGGGATTCGATCCCGCGCCGCGCCGTCCGTCCTGCCGTCGAGCCGGGCCGCGCCGCGCCGCTCCACTCCTACTTGGCCGCCGCCACAGCCGCCATCGCCCTGCTGCTCTTGCGCACCGGACCACCGTCCGCGGCGGCCGCCTGGGCGCGCGCCTCGCGTCGCTTTGTACTCCTGAAATACTCGGTGATCTCCTGGTTGGTGGAGCGGCGTCCGCCGAGCGGCGCCGCCGCCGCCGGCGCCGGCGCGGCCTCCCGTCGCCGTCGCGCCGCGCTCGTCTCCAGCGTCTGTCGCGAGTGGCGCTCTACGGTGCCGCCGCCGACCATCGTCACGCTCGTGTTGACGCGGCGCACGCGCGGCGCCGGCGATGCGGAGTTGCGCGCGCGCCGCGTGCGGCCGGCGGCGCCCGTCTGGGCGGCCGTCAGCAGCGCCGACCACGAGCCGGCGCCGGCCGAGCGCGTGCGCGCAGCGCCTCCCGAGCGAGACGACAGGCCCGACGGCAGCGCCGATAGTCATCTGATGAGCGACGTCTTCGTCTTGGCCGGGTGCGTGACCGGCGAGCGGCTCGAGCTGAAACAGCGAGAGAAGGTCGATCAGCTTACTGATAAGGGCACTTAAAGAGACCGTCCTCACAGGGCCGCCTTCACAGGGTCATGAGGGACGTGTTTCTTATTTTCCTCGGAGCAAGGCAAAACAACCTCTGTGGAGATCAGTGCCGGAGCACATCAGTGATCATCATGAGATCTGCCACAATATGTGTACTCAACAAGCTACTTTTTGTAAATACGATGAACGAGTTTACATATATCAATATATGAAGACAGCATACTTGATTGCTTTCTTTGGCACTGCAGTATAAGATTTTTTTTTTGCGAAATTACATTCAACAAACACAACCAAGACACGATACAATATCTAAGGTGCAATCAATGAAAAGACGCACTAAGTGAGTAAAAAACACGGAAAACTGAACACCTAAAAATGGCCAGCATGAATTACACAACCATGCGAGCAGCTCTAGTGAAAGTCAGCGGAGCAAAAAAGGAGACAATCGTGCACATTGAAAAAAAAAATCCGGGATAAAATATTTTTGTTTAAAAGAACAATAGCGCGGCCATCGGATGTCCAGTGAAATCAGTCGACATTAGCCAACGACAGCTCCATCATTATTTATTCGAGTGTCAATTTTCAAGATTAATTTGTTCCTTTTCTGCAAATTGCCGAAATATCGTAATGTAAACTGATGCCGACAGCCTTTTAGTTCAGTCCGGTGTCCGTCGTGCTCGGTGTCGGCTGTCGTCAGCACACAGCCGCGGACTGTCGAGGGTGGCGGTGGCTGGGACCGTCCATGCCACAGCGGGAACGGCAGCACGTGCGACACACAGGGATCAGACAGCGGCCGGCCCACTCACGCAGCCGGCGCCGGGGTCGTGGCGGGGGCCGCGGCGGCGGCGCCCGGCCGTACGCGCGCCGAGCGCCTCAGCCGGGTGGCGGCCGCCGGCGGGGGCGGTACCGCCACAGAGCCGTACACGGCCTGAATCCAGGCGCGCCTGACCGGGAGGCCGCGTCAGACTAGGGGACATCCCGAGGGTACACCGTCCGCCGCACAGCGCAGCTCAGCATACACATACCACAAAGTCACACTAGAGAGAGCTCAGGGAGCTACACAGTACAACTCAGGTAGAGCAGTTAACCCTCTGTAGAGAGGCAGATACTGATCCCATGGGACGCAGCCAGGGTACGTCAGGCTGAGGGCACACCAGTACAGGTCCACACTCCGCCACGTCAACAGGCCTTATAACTTCTCAGCCAGGATGCTATTAACCTCATGCCGACGCCGATCGAGTTCTCGCCATCGCTACACATCGACATGCCTGCTGGCGAGCCGAGTTAGGTAGAGAGGCGCTGCCACCATCACCGTTCCATCACAAACGCCCCATACCGACCCCATGCCACTCCCAGCCGGCACCACGTGCGATATCCCCTCCTCCCACCTCCCCCAGCACTCTACCCGCCGCTCCGCTCCTCTACCCACCTGCGGCTGGCGCTGGACGCCCGGCTGGCGCGCGCTCCGCTGGCCGACTCTGTCCTCTTGGCCGACACCTTGGCCGACTTCAGCGGCGACAGGGCTGAGCTGCTGCCGCCCGAGACGGCGCGCAACACCTGGGACGACTTGGTGCGCGTGTGGCCCGCGTGCTCCTCGGCGCTGAAACACGAGACAGAGCACTGTCAGATCGGGTGGAATAAATGGGAGCACAGACAGTAGAAACTGGAAACTGATATGGTGTATTTGGTAAAAATACGCAAAGTGGTGCACGGAACCCATTCGCGAATGCCGCTTTGGTTATTGGGGTAAATAGTAAATACCAACCTGAGCAGTGACTAGTGAGCCATGAGCATCGGATCTGACGACCATGCTATTACGATAATTATACAGTGAATCAATGCAGACCAGCGCCGCTGAATTTCAAACAAAAGCAGGCCAATGTCTGACATAATTATCGCATGAACATAGTACCGCGCGGTAGGCCCCAGGAATCTACAGTTCGCGTTCCACTCACGAGATGGCGCCGGTGGTGGCGTGGCGCGGATGCTGCCGCATCGCCTTGATACGGGTCAGGTGGTCGCCCTGGGTGGGCTCTCCGTTCGACAGGGTCGACACGTTACGGTTGGCCTCGTCCTGCGACACAGAGACATGTGGTGAGGTAGAGACATGTGGTGGGTGAGGAGACGCACGGCAGCGGGGGTAAGATGTGGACGGCGGAGGGCTCACTGGTCCAGACCGGTCAAATCACTGTCGTCACTGAGTCTGAGAGTAAATGGACAAACACCACAGCGATAGGATACTGATATGATGATGACTGAACGATACATACATTTTAAACACTAGCATTCTGAATGCCGCAGGATATATAACGGAAGAAAGACAGATTTAGGTAGAGTGCGGAAACAAGTCAAGATGAGACAGGCTGTCCGCTTCAATTTGCGCTTACCCTTCGAGCCGGGCAGGGTAGTGAGGTAAAGGACAGTCGGTGCAGGGATGGATACACGTAGGCGTCCCGCTGCCGTTGGGGCCGCGCAGATAGCCGGTAGCGGGAGTGACGACTTCCCAGGGAGAGGAGCTGGGAAAACCGTCCGGGAGAGGACACACGTGGAAGGGATGGGTGGTTACTGGACAGAGAGGGTGACAGCTGCAGCCAGTTTACGGGCTGGGAGGATTAGAAGCACATGACTGAGCTAGTTCGGATGTAGGATACTGCTACCCATCTACTAGTAAAAATCCACCCAGTCACCTGAAGTACAAGACCAATGCAAAATTGAAAGCATTTGGTTCGCGAGCGAAATAGAAACAAAGATTCCGCATTTAATCCTTCTCGCGTCCTACTCCCTTTTGCATATCAGTACTCTACTACTCATAGATTGAACTGCACAATATCCCAACTCGAAAATTAGGTGCATGACTGAAAAGCAACACCGATAAACAAGGATGAAAGTAGACTGTTGAGCATCCATTCCCTCTCCCCAGCGCCCACAAGACGCTCCTGTCCGCTCGAGTAGCTGACCTCTTTGCGCTGGTTTTCCTTGACCTTTCCGGCGAGGTCGTCATCGTTGAGCCTCATCAGGTCCACCCGGCTGGAGAGGATCCGGCTGATGTCCTGCTGTCGGCCTGCTGGGGTCGAAAAAGGGTCAGAGGTTAGTGCGGGTCTTCAAGCCGCATTGGGACTCAAAGGACGGAAAGTCGTGAGCATCTGCGATGTGATTAAGAAAATAATCAATGTCTGGCCAATTAATGAAATGGCATTGACTTCACCTAAATACACGTCATGATGTCTATTCATAACTAAAAGCAAAATCATCTTGATCATGTTACACGCACGTTATCGCCAGCCAAATGCGTCTGCGCAGTCCCCACCCCACCTAAATCCAGCCCACACTTCACGTCTCTTCCCTTGCCCAAAGCTCTCGCTCTCCCTATCCACCCACCGATTTTGACGGCGGCGTTTCCGTTGGTGGTGGCTGCGGGCGCGTTCTTGCGCCGCCCGCCGTAGACGCCGTGTGTGCAGCGCGCGAACCTCTGGTAGTTGCGGTGCTGGTTGTAGTAGGCGTCGCCCTGCTGCCACATCTGCGGCTGCTTCTCCACCAGCCAGTGCTGCTGGTGGCCGATGATGGAGCCCGGCCGGCAGATGCGCAGCCAGGCGATCGTCTCCGGGGCGGTCATGCGGTAGTGTTTCATCAGGTAGCAGCCGATCAGCGAGCCCGTCCGGCCCAGGCCCGCTGTGGAACGGGAGGGAAGTCAGGTGTGTTGCATGGAAAGGAAGTAGAAAGAATCAAAGTAAGTACGGAACATGTTCAATGTCCACCCCACATCTGTTAGGAGACGCTGAGGAAATCAAAGCAGGCGGCCAACGAGATCGACAACAACAAGATGTCAAACTCAGGATATTTTGCAAACGAGGGTTATGCGATGAATAGAAACCGAAACCTGCACGGCCAGACAGCGCGACTGTAGACCGGCGACGCCCGCCGGACGCCAATGAACACCGTTAAAACTGTCATTTATCAGTCTGGACACACAGCGTCCAGTCCAACATCAGGGGCGGCTCGTGTGGCCAATAAAAACTTTGCCCTCTGGCCGCGCTGCACCGAAATAGCCCCCCGTACAATTACCAGAGGGAGAAACACAGACTAATGACCACGAAGGCACATCAACGCCAGAGCCGGGCACGGCCGTTGTGACACTAATTAACGTGCCGCACAGATAGGAGGCGAAATTAATTAGCGATATATGAGTTGACCCCAGTCACAACTTGCACGAGCTGCTTATTTAAGATGTAATCTATGAGGCACTCATATGTGGAATGCATATGCGGGTCGTGCCACTTATTATCTTCATGTGAGCTAATTAACTAAACGAAGCACACTGACCCAAATAACCCCTAATGGGTCCAACGGTTCATCTGTCTGCTAACCCCAATCTAGAACAAAGTTCGATTTTAGTCTCAATTCCATTCCATTTCACTCCACTCTTCACTGCTACATTTCACGCCGATACGCCCCACCATACCCCACTCCGTTCCACTCCATCTCACCCTTGCAGTGGACGGCGATGGCCCCGGTGGCCTGCTCGCAGATTTCGATAAACTCTCTGGTGATTTGGTCGCTGGGCGTCGAGCCGTCGATGAAGAACAGGTCGCGGTGGTCGAAGCCGGCCTTCGTGAACCGGCTGGCGTCGTAGATTTTCTTGTTGAGCCGAATGATGGTGGAGACGTTGTGCCGCTGGAAGTAGGGGAAGTAGGTCTCTGGCGAGTGGAGCGTGTAGCCTGTGGGGAGAAACATAGGGGTCAGAGCGGGACGAGGGGTGGGACACTGTTGGCGAGGGGGATGGTGAAGAAACAATGCTATCTTTCACCAGAGGCACTGCCTGAGAGATAACTATGACAGAGAAGCAGCGATCAGTGGTGAATGGCGAGTGTAGTTAGAGACAGACCGAGCATGTTAAACACGGCTCAGAGTTGAATGCATGGTCAATACTGGAGAGAGCTGCGCTGCCCTGTTTGTCTTTCAGGGGTGCAGCATGAATGAAATGCCGAATATGGCGGAACTACCAATACGCTCAACTGCGGGGGCAGACCATTAGCCGAACAAACTCACTGCCACTACACAAACAACCGTCATATATGGCCTGCCCGAGCACATCTGTAATCGCGCTGAGACTCCAATCAACAATAGCTATAAACTTATCTGAAGGCTTTAATGGCAGTCCGCCTTTATGACTCGAGATTATAACGGCAGCAATAAAGCCAGTCAAAGCAGGATACGATTGTTGTTGACAGGGAGCTATTGCAAATGTTTGCATCAACTCCCAAAGCGGATGCGGGCATTGCTGAAGTGCCGGATGAGCTCAGACGCTTCATAACATGATCAGCATAAACGATTTTCGTCCTTGGAAGCCGTGCCCACATGCGGCACAAGTTAGGACCCTTGATTGAATCCATAAACAGCGCTGACATATGCAATCGGCTTTTCCGCCCACGGTGGCAAGCAACGAATGGATATCGATTTGGCGTGTGATTCGCATCGAAATAGTTTCTCGCCGCCGATACGCCTCACAGACCCCTAACTACTCCCTGACCGTCTGACTCTCCGCTCTACCTCCCTCTCACCGGGTAGCTAGAGCTAGAAAACCTCTTTGATGCGTCACATAAGCGGCTCAAGAGATATGAGCCCAATCATGCAGCTATTATAGCTGAAATGAGCGTGATGATCCATAATCGAACGATCAGTTCTGTTATTGGACTTGAAATGGAAGTCGAATTGGCTTATCTTTCCTGAATAGAGCCATTCAAAAACGAATCCTGAAGTAACTTGATGTCGGCGAGGTCTATTTCCATTTTCCTGTAATATCATCGATGGTAGGACACCTTAGCATCTTTAGAATTAGGTATTCGATTTTCAGAGTTCAGGCTATATCAGCGAGGTTCAGAGGCAGAGACTAGACAAGCTACCACCGTAACACTTGTCTTGGTACCCGTGCCGCCATAAGGAGACCCTCCCCGCTCAGAGCACTGACCGTTCTCGACCCGCGCCCGCGAGTGGGGGCCGCAGAACGCCAGGAACTTGTCGGGCACCAGCCAGTTGAGGTCACCGCTTTGTACTTTCTGCAAAAGGAGCACAAACACCCGGTCAGCCATCGGTAGAACAGCGGCAGGGGCGGCGGTTGTGCCCGTCAGTGTCAGTTCACTGTGGGCGGCGCTGTCTTTACAAGGTAGACAGACACTGATCCCGTCACCGGTTTACCAACAGTCAGCTCAACATCAGGAGACGTGGGCGAGGGACGAGACAACCTACATCGACTCCCGGCACTCCCCCTGAGTCAAATTGGGTGACGTAACCAACCACCCTGGTGGCGGACATACTCGTACAGAGCCAACAGACAGAGACGAGGATTACCATCACGTGACCAGGGTTGGATAAAAGCCGGCTTAAATTGAATTTATGCCAGCCAGTGGTTTTAACCGGTTTAAACCGGTTTAAACCGGCTTAAATTAAGAAAAACCACCTTCAGTCAAATCATCTACTATAACTTATCTTGTGGGTCATTGTACTCGTTGGTGACGGTGCAGAGTGCAGGAAGTCAATACCGTGTCATTTGGTATTATGTCAACATTTTGGCATGGTATTATGTTGTCAATCTGGTCAGCAGGTAACTAAGCTAAGAAACAAAGTAGGTATAAGGCAAAAGCACATTCTAATCTTAACATTCGGTTTACCAGTTGAAAGTCTCACTTTATTTTACATGTAAAATGTATTCTGACCAAGCGTCTGGGGACTGGGCCAGTAACACTAGAAAAAAATTATCATGGTATCACCCATTCGGTGATTTTTTTAATGGCACAGGAAATACCTAATTGTAACAACTCATCATTTATAAATCTTCTGGAATGTTCCTATGGCTTGCGTTTGTTCTGGTAGTGCATGTTGTTTTCTTGGTATAACAGTGTCCCTAACTAATCACACTTATTATTGTTTTTTTACATGAACTTTGGAGCCTATAATGGTGGCCGTGCTGTCAATTCATTTGTTTAGTGTCACTGACTGCTTAAGCAATAGACAGTTCCCTAGTAAATAGGCAATGTTCTGTATGATAGTTCTTAGGCCTTACCATTCACTGATCCTTGCACCATGCATTTGGCATAAGGTCATGTTTGCTACAGCTTCTCATAGAATCGAAATTGGTTTCTTTATTGAAGCTGTCTCCAAGACTTTTCATTCCATGAACCACCCATGTAAACAGCTAGTTGTGTAAAACACTGCAAATCAAAATAACCATTTGATACAGGATGATACAGATCAATAATGAATGACATAAAGTTAACCCCCAGGAAAAACCATTACAAGTTAGCATGTAAAATTGAAAGGTGTGTATAGAAAATGTGAAGAGAAGAAGCAGTTTAATCTAAATGATGTTACGACAAGTTAACGTAAGTGGCATTTATTATGTTGGTGCACACTGGTTTAAACCGGGGTGGCTTAAAATAGTTTATGCCAGCCGGTTTAATCCATGGATTAAACCGGTTTAAACCGGCTGCTGGCATAAATTTGCCAACCCTGCACGTGACATGCACCAGCACTGGCCCCCACATGTTCTAGTGAGAAGGGCGGGTGTAGGGGACACGGGTGAACCAGCGGAAAACACATCACCGAGGGCGGACACCGATATGGACAGGGGAGGGTCCGACAGAAATCAGTGGCATATCGGGGACTGAACTGCGGGGGAGAGAGCACGCCAGCACCGGCGAAACAGGGAATGAACAGGAAAACAAGCTGATCGTTATGTAACTAAAGCTGTGTATGAATGTTGTTACGAACTATACGATGATGAAACCGGTAAACATAGACATTATTTATTTCTGCACACTGCAAGCTCAGACCATATTGGACACCAACCGAAACACTTTAAGTTGGACTGTTGAAGTCGGAACAATACGAAATGGCCATTGAAACTTCCTTGATGGAGTGGACCACTCACCTCATAATGTTCGTATTCGTCCACGTCGAAGTCGTCGAAGTTGAAGAAGTTGAACTTGATGGCCTTGTGGATGCCGTGCAGGCAGTCGAGCAGGGTCAGATTGAAGGTGGAGGGCCCGAAGGCGGCGTCCCTGCCGACAGAGGTCACACGTTAAGTCATCATCGCAGTCACAGCAGCAGTCAGGCGGCTACACCAAACACTTGATGGTAAACAGGGGTGAAATAAAATACCGACGCTATTCACGATCTAACGAAGACTGACGAGTTACCCACAAGTTCGCTCATAGGCAGACGAATTACGCGTCAAGTACGCTCAGATCATTCACAGGAATGAAATCCTAGCGTGCATAAATCAACAACTGGCCGAAAACGACCAAATGTTGAAAGAACATCCACTCAGAAAGTATGAAGTGCATTCAATTTCGGTATAAACCACTTGAAGATATCAGCTGCACCAAATTCGCGTTAGGCGACTCCCGTTCTCTTTAACTAGCCGCCATCAGACTAGTTTAGCCTGATGGGCCTGCACGGCATGAAGAATCAGCGCCTGTGTGTGGACTGTGGATATCCCAGTATACGAGTAAGAGGACGACCGCACTGTGCCCTCTCCTGTCACTATCCCTCATGTGGTTTATATCGGCAGCGAATGACGCCCAGTCTGCGTGGTATCCTGGCTATCTTCACCAGAAATAGCGTAAGCACAACAGCGCACCGGGGGCAGACGAACCCAAACAGATAGACACGATACAGGCCTATCGGATAAACGACCAACACGGAACACGAGCCAAAGTCGGAGACAAAACATACGTGTGTACGGTAGTCTCGATAACATCGCTGGACTTCTATCCACAAAGACGATAAAGATGTCACTTTAGCGTACCAACCAACTTAAGAAATGATCGAGACTGCGTATGTATGCAGAAGATTGAGCAGATATAACGTAACATATCACGCATCCCATCTCATGCTAATATCCTGCAAAACCAGTCAGAATGCGATGCAGAGTTCTACAGTCGATTTAGCTGTCGATGGAATGGGTTTAATAGCGCACGATACGCTGGACACGGTCGCGTATCGATCACGTTATCAGGTCATTGGCAGCCACTTACACCCACTTGACCTATCCGGCCGCTAAATTTGTCACGACCTCATGTGCGACTCGGCCCATATGGGCGACACGATACGGTCCTGAGCGGTAGTGCAGCTGACAGGGTTCTATTCCCACTTGAGATAGGAGCGGTAAGATGACACGCAGCTTTATCTAAGGGTTCATCACACTATCGTAGATGACAGGCGTAACGACACAGCGCCAAACGAGGAAGACATTAGCCAAAACCGGTGACAGGAGAGCGATACTAAGCGATTTAGGCAAATCAGGTGACGATTGGAGGATGGCTGCCGACTGGGCCAAAGATTGTGACAGCTGTTCAGATAGCGCGAAATGAAACCCACGAAATGGAATGGGTCTGATGGGCAGCAAGATAGTACCGTCAGAGAAAAAATAGCTGAGGCGAAATGCAAAGATGAGACACGATGAAGATCATAAGGGTAACAGAGAAACCGTGAGGAGAAAACAAATATCAACCCAGGGTTAACCTATTTATCACAAATAAACAGGATCCCTTGAGCTACAAAAAAACCTTCACTATCCCGTAAATGGAAGCCATGACGATGCGAAGGACGGCCATTTCGCGATATCAGCTGACCCGTCCGCACCGCCGGCTCAGCCATGAACTGTCGGCCCGTTCCGCTGGGCGTTTCTGTGACGACCGGTACGCGACCGGCCGAATTTGACCCGATTCGGCCCGATAGGATCAGCCGCCGCCCCCGCCGTGTCAGCGGCAATATATCGCCGACCGGCTCTGTGCCCCTGCACCTGGCGAGCGCAACAGGTGCGCCGCCCGCGGCAGCGGGGGCGGCGGGGCTGAGTCTCAAAACGCCGAGCGCGTGACCGCAGCGTGCGATACTGGTCTGCCGGTGACATACTGAGTGCTGTTGATGGATGGCAACACCGTCATCTTTTCCAGTTACACGCTCTGAGCGGCAGTTGTGGCCGCTGTTCATCCGCCTGTCCGACCGGACCCGCATCTTATCGCGGTTGGTATCAGCCGGGTTGAGTTTGAATCTGGCACCCATTCTGCCGTTGGATGTGCTGTGTTGCCAAGCTGGTCAGACCGGATAATGATATACCTAAACAATACCCATCTGACAGGCGAGACCAAACAGAAGGGAAATGCAAGCCCGAAGATACGTCAGCCTGATGATGCAGATGTAAAACAGCAGGTGGGAGGACAGGCTTAGCATTGGCGATTCCTTCTATTTTTAGCAGAGGATGATCGTTTATCCAGAGAGTAAGCTACTGTGCTGAATGTTTTCTGGACAATGCGTGGTTGTGCAAAATTGTTGAGATCTTGCCCTTGAGCTTGGCTCTGATTATCGGAGCTGCTTACATCTCCACGCCACAATCCGGACCGACGCGGCACACGAGCCGCCTGCGTCGACTCCAAGAACTAACCATCCGCTTCGCGCTGTAAACGCCCCGGGAAACAAAAACAAGCTCGGTGCCCATGACGCAACGGCCGCCGGGAGTGTTTTGAGCGCTCACGGCCAGTCCAGCCGCGTCGGGCGCGTTTTATCGTCAACAGTCGGCCGTTTATACGCCGCCGGCCATGCGTGGTGTGCGGGCGCGGACGGACACAGGCCACAGACCGGCCGGTCTGTTGGGTTCCCACAGCTGCTGGCGGCCGGACAGACGGACAGACGGACGGCTGGGAGGGTCCCGCCGGTTCCGGAGAACCACCGACCGCGTAGGGTGGTCACACGGGGTGACATGTTGTCCTCAGCTGACCGGAGCCGGATCAGCCTCCGGAGTACCGGACCATGCCCCGGAGCGGTACCCGTCCAATGCCCGGTACGGTACCGATCACCTGCCTGACGCTCCATTTATGTACAGTCATACCTGAAGGCGAGCAGCGGAGGGTTGGTGCCGCCCACCAGTGGCCGGTACGCGTCCTCCGGAGTCCGGTTCAGATAGATCACCTGTAATCACACAACAGAAAACACACGTCAAAATACGGGCCAATGACGTCACGATACACGAGCCAATCACGTCATACCGCATCAATTCTGGAGGCATTCCGAGCGGGGTCAATAGACATTCCACACACGGCCGAGTGAATAAGTAAACACAGTTGCGTGATATCCGATCAGCTTCCGTACGAGTAAGCATGGATGTTGCGTGTTTGGTAAGGGACCCGTGAGCGGGAATCACGTCACGACAGCCGTGATATATCCAAAAGCAACATCAAAGGAGACCCTCAATTATCCAGGCAGTGTCTCGGCCACGCGACAGCATCAACAACCCACATCACAGAATAGCGAGCAACAGCAAACAGCCCCGAAACAGCTGTCTCTTCCCACTCCGCCCCGCCCCCATCGCGTTCCCACCATCAACAAACGGACCCAATGTCAGAGACCGTACCCAACGGCCGCCCACTTCCCAGTACTGCCTCACGTCACCAGATGGCAGTTAGGTCGCCACGGCCAGGGGCGCCGGGCGCCCAGCCGTGCTTCCCGTTTATGTTCCGCCGGCCGCGGATACGACCACTAAACCGAGAGCTCCTCTCGTCAAGGTAAACCGGGCGTCGCGCGCCCGGCGACCCGCGACCCGCCAGTAAACACAGCATCAACAGCTGATGGCGATTTCCGCTCCAGATTCTGTCGAGACCGACGATGCGCGTCGCCGTCGCGTCCGTCGCTGGTCGCCCTCCCTCCCTGTCCGTGTGTGGTTCCTGCCCAGTGCCCACCGCCGGACGGCGGATCAATGTTTCCCGGACGGGGAGGGGGCGGGACGGCCAGCGGGGCGCTGTGAGCAGCCGGTCGTTCATCAGGCTGCGGAGGGCCGGATCAAGGAGCTCCCCGGACCGGTCACGAACGCCCCGGGACGGCTCACCACGAACGGTAATCAGTGGACGGCGGATGGCCGTACGGCGGCCCGTCGGGTAGCATCGAGGGAACATGCAGGTCCCGCAAACGATCGAAGAACGATGTAGGACCTGCGGTGTCTAGTGAACAGCCATCGCCAAAAAAAAAAAAAAACTGTTGGCGATTAGGAAAAGTAGTAAACACACGGTTCACTGCCCACAACATCTACGAATGGGGCCATATTACGTCCAGCATCAACCAAATACATTGCTCCGTGTGTACTCCTTGGGGAGCAAGGACTGACCCCATTCTGACCTAACAGCCCGTCAGCACGTGACCGAGCCAGGGCAGTCGGCCAGCATGGTAGCATAGCCCTGCGCACCGCGGTACCGCTGAACAACCATGGCAACAGGCTCCACCACTGGAACATGACGCTGCCCCAACAGGCGTCGCCCATTACCCATGCAAGGTCACGTAGAATCCAGTACGCACGCACCGCCCATATGCGCAGACGGACGGTGACTCGCACCGGCATCGGGACTGGCTGGGATACCGCCGAGACAGCCAGCAGCGGGGCAGAATGCAGGACACCTGTCTGTCTGGCCTCGAGACAACAGTGAAGAGGCGGTCTGCCATGGCATCCATCAGCCCCCAATCAACGCGGGAGCACGTCGGCGTGCACCCATACGGGTGGGCGTGCTGAGCACGGCCAGACGTATCGAGTACGGCAGGGAGTGACAGATCGTCTGGGCTGTCGAAGACAGGTAGTTGGGGAGTGTGGGGCCCTAGGGTGTTTCACTTTTCACTTTTTTTCTCAGATTGTCTCTCCTCGATCGGATTCCCATTATTTCATCTTTTTAATAAAATTTGGTGGCAATTATTCGATTTTAAACTCGATTCTAAACGTCGCGATAATTCGCCAAAGTTTTCAATTTTTGTGCCGTTCGGCGTTGAAGTCACCCATGTTAGAGCAATTGCATGTAGGGCACTAACACCAAGAAAATACGGCCGTGCAAGAGGTGGTATTAACCGGTATTTTATGACACTGTGAAGGTTGAATATGGTACCTGCGCTTCCATAAAAGTGTCGTCGCATATTCTGGTGCTCAGATTAACATACACAGACATAATTCATTATTCAGGACACGACAACTTAACAGTAAGCAAAACACTGGTACGTCAGTGACGGCAAAACATGTATTTCGGTACCGGGCCTCAACACCGTTTCTCATCGAACCCAGTCACAGGGTAGCCAGGGCTGCCTTTGTCATGTGTGGCACTGCACGCCTGTGCCTCTCCACAGCCTGCAGAAGCCACTGGAATTGGTCCTGCCCCTTCACATGCTGAGCGAATGTTTTCAGAAGAGCGATGCCCCTCTCCGCGGTGTCGTTCACGACTTTCACTGTTTTCATGAATTCCTTGCATAGGATGTACGCCTCGTGACCTTCCCACTCCCCAGGAGGCTTCGTCATCCACTCGTGGTCGACTCCCATCAGGTCAAACATCAGCCACGACGACGTGGTCACCAATTCTGACAGGCTGGTGGACTCATCCAGTGCGACCGATGGTGTCTGATCAGGCGCCGCGGAGCACGAGTTTGCGAGCAGGTTGACACATATGGCCTCCTTCTCCTCTTCTGTGACACGGCTGCTAAAGAGGCTGAATACTACAACTGATGGGATGGCTGCAGATACCACAAATGGCGCCGCATCACAACGAGAGCAGCGTTCGCCACTGGTTGGTCCAACTGCCTATACCGCACCAGGCTACGGTACAGGTTGAGGTCGTTAAGGGGGCGTCCTCTCGCAGTCGGGCGTGTGGCCTTGACCGGGCCGGACGCTCAGCCGCGGGCTCCGTGCGGCGGCATGGCTGAGTGAGCGGGGCGCGCGGAGCGCACGGGCGGCGCAGTGGGCTGTGCGAGTGGACGTTGTGGCCCAGTATGGACGCGACAGAGGTTGCTGTGGCATTCGCGTAACGTGACACATGAGGTGACTGGAAATCACAGCTAAAGTGAGTGCCTCTGTGCAGACTTTCCGCTCAAGTGACAGTGGCAATTTCGCGATGGACTCGGATAGTGGCGACGACCCGACATTCACGGACTGCCAAGCATCTGGGTCCGAGAGTGCCAGCGGAACGTTTGGTGGTCGGAAAAGACAGCTTTTCTTACACGATATGGTCCGCAGTGCTGATGGGAAACGCGCCAAACGCCAGGCGGCCGGGCGGGGGTCGGGGTCGCCGGGCGACCCGCCGGCGCCTGCGGCGGGTAGAGCCGGCGCCGGGCCGGCCTCGGAGCCGGTGCAGCTGAGCGCGGCCGCTCTGGCAGAGATCAAACAGCTGATCGACCAGAGCAACGCCAACGTCATCAGGGCGTTAGAGGCAAAGTTGGAAAGCGTGGAAAGGAGGCTGAATATGCTGGAAGGAGAGTGCATGGAGAAAGACTGTAAGATCCAACAGCTCTCGAAACAGCTGGACCAGCAGGTGAGAGCGAACGAGGAGCTGGATTCCAGACTGGAGGAGCTTGATATGAACGGTCGGCTGTCGTCACTCATTCTCGCGTGTGATGCATTTAAGGCACACCCGCGAAGTGCAAGTGTTGAGCAGCTGGTCGTGACTGTGCTCAATCAGAGAGTGCCGGGCCTCTCCGTGACGACTGCCGACCTGCAGGCGGCGCACAAGCTCCAAAATGACTCTAAAGTGTTCTGCAAGTTCACGAAGCGGCAGGTGAGAGACGCGGTGTACGAGTCACGCTTCGACATGGTGCGATTCCGTGAAGGTAACACCGGCCGTGACGGGCGTCAGCTGGCGCCGCTCTACATCTCCGAGTCGCTGACGCCCAGAAACCGACTTCTTTACGACGAGCTCCTACGAGCGAAGCGGCCGGAGAGCGGCGGGCTGATCGCCTCCGTCTTCAGCCGGCGGGGAGTCGTCTGGTGCCGCACGGAGAGGGGCGGCGCCAATCTCCGGGTCCGGGACGAGGCGGACCTGCGCAGGATTCTGGGCGGCAGGCGTTTCCCGGTGCAGCAGCGCGTCTCCGGGCGAGGGGCGCTGCCCCGGACGTCGCCTGCCGCGCGGCGGCCCCCTGATTCGGACTCCTTCGACGGGCGGCCTCCTCCGCGCCGGGCGGCCGCGGATGCTCTTCCGGGACCTCCCGGGGACTCCGGGGCCGCTGGGTCTCGTGGTACTGCTGCGGAGCCGAGAGAGACCGCATCTGTGGCGGATTCGGGTGCGACGGCTCCGCCGGGTCTGCCGTCGGCGGGCGGGGTGGCCGGCTCTAGCTCGGCCCCGGCCTAGCGGTCGGGTTCGGCGGGGCGGGCGGCGTCTCGTCTGTCCCTGGGCACGTGAGTGTGGACTTTAACGGAGTGAGCGAGACTCTCCGCACGGTACGTTCTGATGAAACGTCACTTTTTCAGTGAAAGTAGACAGAAAAAAAACTGTAAATGTTAGCGACTGATAACGCCAGTGAATATGGTGATGTGAGTAGTAATTACCGAAGAAATGGTGCTTTCGATTATGTATTCCGATCCTATTGCCAGTTGAAGTTCAGTAGGCAGTTTTTGCAAATCGGCGCTCAGCGAGTTGTTTTTCTTTTCATTTTGGTATTCTGCGCCTTAAGACAGGATTCGTATCCGTCCGTTTATGTATAAGTCTGACCGTTACATTGGGGGATAGTCGGGTGTTGCGGCTGCGGACGGTGCTGGGTAGGGTCGCCGTGTAGCCGTAGCGTGTGGCTGCCCGGTGAGTGTGACGTCACACGTGGTGGAGGAGGGCAGCTGAGACGGGTGATCTGCCCGTCCGTACCGGCGGCGGCCGCCCCGGTCTGGGGCGACCGGCCGGGCTGCCGGGCGTGGTCGGTGGCCGGCTGGGTTGCCGGACGTTTTGGAGCTTGCGCCTCTTATGAGATTGAGTGAGATTAAAGCTGAGATTAGAGCGCGTGTCTGGCCGGTGATAGGTCACCGTCCGGGTTGTGTTCTCACCTCTGACCAGGTGGCTGCGTCGCCCGGGGCTCTGTTGCGTGGAGCAGGTGATAGCGGGCAGTTGATGAGAGGTTCTGGTGATGGGGGGAGGGGATGTGAGTGGGATGGAGGGGAATGTCACATGATACCCACGTCACAGTGG